CTGCAATGCACTGAGAGCATCCTGACCTAGTCCAAAGGGAGGGACACAAAACAAGGTACAAAACCAACCTCCATGTCCACAGAGTTAACACTTTCTGTTCATTGATGGAAAAGCAAAGGACAGAAGCACATCAATTTTCTGACAACATAACCACTGCAGTGCTGGGGAGGGGAAGTGATTCTTCTAATGGGGGACTAAAAGTTCACTCACACCACTGACATGTTTAAGGCACAAAGAGTTAATTTTGCAGTAAGACATGCTCTTAAAGTGGAAATAGTTGATGAAAACACTAAAGAGGAGGGATGTCAAACCTCTGCACTGATTATTTTATTCACTTCTGTTCTGAAGCCACTTTTATTACATTGGACATTTCTGAATACTCATCATTTCCTGGGGAATGATTTGGGTTGATTATCTATACTCCAAGCATCTGGCATTAACAGGACTAGTCTTAAGCTATAAAATAGAGAAGTAGAGAATAAAAGTGCACTGAATCGATGAAGCAAGCTTAAAAACTGTGATGAAGTGTAGGCTTGGCTTGCAGCTCCATGTGATGCCAGAGTCAAGAGGCAGAGCCAGGCTGAGCGCCCCAGTTCTGCACACATCATGTGCAACACAAACTGCAAACCACATTTTTCTTCTGGTATTTGTTTTCTAAATAGCTTAGGCGATTGTTGCAGTGGAATTGTTATTTGCAGATTTAGCATTACAACAGAATGAAGGAATTAGAGGAAAATCTGGCACAGATGGTCATATAAAAACATCCTAAGTTCTTTCAATTAAGCATCACATGCTTCTTTGCGTTAAATACAAAGAGAAATTACTAAAATATCGCTGTCCCTGCTGCAGAAAAGATCAGGTCAAAAATGAATCTTCCTGGAAGATCATGGGAGCGTGAGAAGTGAAGCGTTTAGTCAAGGAACTAATGGAACAACCACCTGGAGAAGTCAGTTTTCAGATAATAAGAAAAAAAGCCCAAGCTGCACCATTTCCCACCCCTCCTTTCCCATCCAGGGGTCCAGCAAGTACAACTGGATTGTTACCACAGCCACGAAAGGTGAGTGGGGAAAGAAAACAGGCCACCTTTGTTAGCAATCCAACACTGCACTAAGTCCTTTTCATTTCCTAAAGGACTTTGTGCGTGCTTCAGAGCTTCACCCCCAAAACCAACATAAGCCAACCAGTCCTATGTTCTCTCATCTGAAATGCTGCATTATACCAAACATACATATATTCCACCCCCAAAGTGGACATAGCTCCAGCACCAAGAGGGAAATGAGCCCAGGCTGTGTATCCAGGAGTACAGGATGGAGTTTTTGCTGCCAGGTCCTGCATCATGCTGCCATCCCTCTCTATCCAGAAGGACATCCCCTGAACACAGCACAGGAAAGGAAGCATCTCCTTAAAGCCACGAGAAGGGCACATGTGCTTATTCACAAGGGAAGTGAAGGCTGCAGCTACTGTAGCTCACCCTGTAAGTTTCCTGCAGCTATTCTCTCCCTGCTCCAGCATTATCAGAATTCATGTTCCAGCTTCGGGGGACACCATAAGGTACCATCAGAGGCAGTGAAAACCAAACAACAACCCAACAAACTATGTGCAAAGAGTAAAGAAAGGGTCACTCAGGGACATGGAGCAGCAAGAATGCAAGATGAGCCAGCCCATACTATCTGAAAAGCCATTCTGACACAGGTTGAAAGACACAGAACCTGCCTGCAGGCCTCCCAAAAGTCCTATCACCATCAAGTCCACCTCAAAGACACTGTGCCTTGGATCTCAGGTGCCAGCAGGGCCCAAGCTCTGCACTGCCCTGCTACCAAACAGCAGCAACACATGAGGAGGCTTTGATCTGCTCCACACCCAGCCAGAACAAACTCTGCTGCTGCTCCTGCTCATGGCTTTTGCTTGAATTCAGTATTTTGTTTGGTTTAAAAGCTACAGCATAAATAAGGTTATCAAAACAAATCCTGTGTGGTTCATGAATATAGCTTCTATCTCTGTTTGCTCAGATCTACCACGCTTTCATCCTGTCATTTAGCTGGATTCACTCAGAAATGAAAAAATAAAACAGGAGATGAGCCAAATGATGCTAAACCTAATAACAAAACATCCATTCCTTGGAGGTATTTTACCAATAAGTTGAACCATCCTCTGGAACTAATCTGCCAAATTGAGCAGAGCACATCTGCACATAAACCTCACCTGCAGAGCTGTTAGTGCTACTAATGAGGACAGACAGGGCTTGGTCAGATCTCTGCTTGCTTTGACACCAATGGATTCCACGTGTCAGAGCTTTCAGCCTTCATTAACAATAAACATTTGGTCCTTTTGACCCCCCCCCCAGCATCTGATCTTGTTTTTCAACCCATGGTGCAACCTTATTCCCTCTCCTCTACCTCCAGTGAGTGCAGGCGGGCTTGAGAGAAGGCTGAAATGATTTCAACATTAAAAACTATGACACAGAGGGGACAGTGTGTGTCTGGGGAAGATCTGACACTGCAACTCAAGAACCACCTTGTTATTCCACATAAAGGCTACAAAGGTCCACAGCTGCTGCTGCTGGGGCTCAGTCTGGTTTTGTCCCAGTTTAATTATGTTTTCCTGCTACTCAAACTGTGCAGTTGTGATAATGGGACTTAGGCCACCAAAACCTCTCTGTGTAGAGGTGAGGCACGGGAAGGCTGAAGAGATGATACTCACAGCTTCATCTGCATCTCCAGCATCATCCTGGGAGAAGCTTTACCCTGCTCCCAGCGTCAGGCTTGCAGCCCTGGGCACTTCTCACCTCTCAACAAATACCAGCATTCATATGGAACAGGATAAGGAAGGAGGTTAGACAGGGGCTGCACCCTCCAATTCATATCCCCCTCCCCAATGGAATGTATGTATACCTAGAAGCATGTGTGTGTATATATATATATATATTATACAGAGGAGTGCAGACTAAAAGCTTTGCATGAAGATAGAAGTGAGATAAGGGAGAGCCAACCCATCTCCCACAGATAAAACAACACAGTTTCAAGCCAACCATTATAAAGTAAAATTACAGATGTTGTATTCAAATGAATTCTACTTTGAACAGTTCATCTAAAGACCTGTGCTCCTGCTACTGCCTTAAAATACCACTTAATAAGGAACTGGTGGTAAAAGGTGCAGACAAACAGCATGGATGAGGCAAAGAAAACTCACCCTTGGCCACAAGAAGTCAGTGGGTCAGGAACTGTCTGCAGAGCACATCTGCCTGGCACCACTCACCCTCCTGCAACACACTTACTATGGCAATAACCCCACAAAAGCAAGGTAAATGGGTATAAACCGGAGCTGTGCCTGGTGGTTGTAGCCAGCAGCTCCAACCCCAGCTCCGTTTCCACCTCTGTCCTCGTGGTGAATTACAATTTATTTCACACACATCCAGCCTTAATGGGATTATTCACAATGAAGGTGCAATCAATTTTAGGCCCACAGCAGAGTGCAGAAGCCAGAAGTGTTCTCCGCATCTGTAATTACTTTCTAAGACTACAATCGAGCAGCTTACCCTGGGGACTCCTCCTAATTATTATTACATATCTTACATGGCCAAGTAGAACACTCACCGAGGAACAGACCCTCGGAAACGGAGGATTGAAATAGATGGGACAAGAAGAGCAAGGAAGCAAAACACCAACACTAACGAGACATCAGGCTCTTGTTAATGATGTGTGCGCCGATGTCTGCAGCACCCAACATCCTTTTTCCTTGTGCTGTAGGATACAGCAACACCCGAACCAAATTGCTCTGACAGAGTTTGGCACAGATCTGAGCTCTTTATCCCTTAAGCGCAATCACAGCTCAAAGTGCATGCAGTTCTGGTTCTGGTTTAAACTTATCTGGGAGAGAACTGGCTCAATTAGAGTCAATGTTCTCATACAGGGATGCTGGAGAGAGACTCTTCATTAAGGACTGTAGTGACAGGACAACGGGTAACAGGTTAAAACTGAAACAGGGGAAGTTTAGACTGGATATAAGGAAGAAGATCTTTACTGTGAGGGTGGTGAGGCACTGGAATGGGTTGCCCAAGGGAGGTTGTGAATGCTCCATCCCTGGCAGTGTTCAAGGCCTTGGGTGACCTGGTTTAGTGTGAGGTGTCCCTGCCCATGGCAGGGGGTTGGAACTGGGTGATCTTAAGGTCCTTTCCAACACAAACCATTCTATGATTCTATATTAAACCCCAAATCAATTCCTTGTGGCACCAAGCATCAACAGACCTGTCCTAATCCCCTTCTTCACGCACCAAACATCATCGAGATTGTCCTATCCTTATCTTTACGCCAGCACTCATCAATACTTTTAACATGGTGCAGTTAGCCTCTATTAACCCCGCACCGGCCTCCCCTCTGCTCATGAACTCTGCTACCATTAACTCCGTTAGCATTAACTCTACTCTTTGAACTTGCTGCCAGGAAGTTCCTTTCTTTCCCCTCTCATACAAAAATCGCTATTTTCAACCCTTTCTGCCCTCCGGGGGGGTCTCCCAAACGCCTTTCCGTGGCACTGTATTGATGCCTATGGTTTAATATCCTTCAGTTTCCACGCTCCCAAGCAGTTCCTACCGGAGCTGGGTAACCCCGATGTTCTCCAGCACCTCCCGTGGACCCGTTACAAACGGGACACAAAAAAACCACCCCAAAACCGGTAAATACGTCCTCATTCTGCTCCGTATCCCGTGAACAACTTCCGAGCGCGTCCTCAGCGCCGCTTTACCTTGGTCTTGCCCCTCCATAGTGGTTTTAAACACACTTTCCCCACCCCGCTCGCAACTTCAAGCCGAGGGACACGGAGGTGTTTCCTCAGCGCCCAGCGGCAGCAGACCCGCCGGGAACGGACCGGGCCGGCGCGGAGCGACGCGGGGCTCCCTCAGCCCGCAGGCGCCATTTCCCCTCACGGACCCCGCCGGCTCCGGCCCGGCCCGGCCCGGCCCCGCCGCCCCCCGCCACAAGATGGCCGCCGCCGCCCGCACTCACCGCGGCCCGGGCCGGGGCCTCTCCCGCGGACCGGAGCTGCTCAAGTCCCGCAACAACTCCTGCCCCGCCGGGCCCGCGGAGCGAGCAGCGCATGCGCGGCGGCCCCGGCCCTGGGTGAGGCGGCGCCGCGGGCAGGGCGGGACGGGGAACCGGGATGGGGACGGGGTGGCGGTGGTGTGGGGATGGAGGGTACTGGGATGGGGATGAACTGGGACATGGAAACACTGGGGCGGGTTGGTACTGGGAAAGGCAGGTGCTGGCATGGGGAGATTGTGGAACGGAGAGGCACTGGGGCAGGCTGGCAGTGGGACTTGGAGGCACTGGACATTGGGGCAGGAAGGCACTGGGATCAGACAGGCTCTGGGACAGAGCTGGCACTGGGACACACACAGGCAGTGGGATGAGAATGAACTGGGACATGGAAACACTGGGGCAGAGGCACTGGGAGGGGGAGATAGTGGAACAGAGAGGCACTGGGGCAGGCTGGCAGTGGGATTTGGAAGCACTGGACACTGGGACAGACGGACATTGGGGCAGGAAGGCACTGGGACAGAGCTGGGCACTGGGATAAGGCAGGCTCTGGGACACGCAGGTATTGGGATGGGAATGAACCGGGCGGGACACAGCAAGCATTGGGATAGGCTGGCACTAGAATGGGGATGAACTGGGATAGGGGCTGGCACTGGAATGAGACAGTTCTGGGGCAGGCTGGGACCATGATGGGGATGAACTGATTCATGTAAAATACTCCCCCTATTCCCTGCATTTGTTAAGCTCATTTTTCCTCTCATCCAACATTATTTCCTCTGTGTTTGAATCCTGAGACAATAAAAGCAGCGCTGGTGGGATTTTTAATGGGGCTTTGGGGTTTTTCCATGGCGAGGAAGGAGCACGAGCAGGCCCCAAGCTGTGACCACTGAAAAGCAGTTGGGATTCCAGGGGAATAACAAAGGGGATTTGAAACGGCTCATTTGGAATACACGGGATAAGGGCCTGCATCCCTCAAAATACCTGGCTTCCAAATGAGCCAGAAAGCAAATGTATTCCTTACCTCCTCTGTGTCAGCCAGCCCTGGCTAATCCCTGTTGCTGCAGATGGGTTTTGAAGCAGGCGCCAGGCCCAAGGAACCAAAGGAGTTCACAGCTAACCAACCCATCCCTGGTCAGGCTCATAGATAGGTTTTAATTGCAGGGAGCTTGACTGAGATCCCTTATTTCGGGGCTTCTTGCCCTTTTCTCTTACTGCTTTGACTTACATGACACAAGCAGCCCTGCACTTCAGAGCTGGCAGGGTTTCCATGCAGCAGCTCCCTGCCAGGAGAGGACCATGCATGGACTGAACCTTCATTCCCAGAGATCCCTAAGCAACAATTCCCCCATTTCAAGGGGCCACTGTGTGCTGCTGCACGGTACCCGGAGCAAAGGCTGGGTTATGCTATCCCAGTCTGCACCATCCTCATCCCGCCTGGGCCTTCCTGTATGGATCAACAGTGAAATCCCAACCGCACAATCATGGACCATGAAATCACACCAGAAGCAGAAGCAACAGTAAAGTGGTTTTCTAAAGCAAGAAGCCATTCGCTGTGAGGAATGCTCCTGCAAATTCAAGCTTACACCGGTTGATGTCAACCACCACCAATCCCAACGTCATGGAACCACCACCAAATGTCATCAAGCAAAAATAGTCTTTATTCAAATCTCATGGGCACAGGAATCACTGTACTCTGCAAGACAGGGAAAACATAAATAGAATAAAAAATAATACAAAACAAGGATATTGCCACAATACGGAACTCTACTTTTCCCTATGGATTGCTGCAAGTACCTCTGTTTTTTTTTTCCCCACCCACCCCCTTTTTGACTGTGCTATTCACAAGTCCAAAAAACATGGAACAAAAGTAGTATGAAACTGAAGGCTCAGCACTTCCACTAAATGGTGTACATCAAAGGGCATCAGTTCAAGGGCAAAGACTGTTGAGGCCATCATACCCACCTATCAGTCAGCACTGCAACCCCCTCTACTCACCACGGGGCAGTGCACATTCCCTGCAAGGCTCTGCCTGGAAAAACAGGGCAATTTGGGTGCTCTGGAAGAGGTGGGGTTAAAGAGAATGAGCAGCCTTGCACCAGTGAGCACTGCAGGGAGGGGGCACTGCATGGACAGCGAGACATCCCATCGGGGTTCCTGAAAAGACACAGCATCGATGTGTTCTCTACTTCAATCACTTGCGCTACGACTACTACACAGGTACAAAAGACTCCTCCAACCGGTCCACGTGTGGGTGCAGCAAGGTTAGGATGTGGAGCGAGACCTTGACTGCGATGGGGAGTGTGACCCAGAGGCAGACCTAGACCTAGACTTGGACCGGGACCTAGGCTTTGAAACAGACTTAGACCTGGAACGAGAATCTGATTTGACATTTAGGTTTGGCTTGGAAATGGACCTAGACCTGGAGCGAGACACTGGGCATGTGGCTGCATCCTCACCCTCACCGTCTGCCTCCTTTTTGACAGGCTCTGATTTTAGATGCTCCTCTTTGGAGTCTGACCTGGACCGCTCGTGGCCATCCTTCCTTTTCTTCTTGCTACCTGGTTTGCTGTCTCGCTTGCTGCGCCTCTTGCTTTTCTCATACTTGCTGCGGCTCCTGCTTCTGCTCCTGCTGTTACCCCTGCTTCTCTTCCGACTTTTCCTTTTATCCTTACTGTGGCTCCTGCTCCTACTCTCATCCCTGCTCTTGCTCCTGCTCCTAGCCTTGCTGATGCTCTTCTCCCTGTCTTTGCTCCTACTCTTCTCCTTGCTCCTGCTCCTCATGCTCTCTCTCATCTCTTCCCTGTCCTTACTCCTGCTCCTGCTCTTCTCCTTGCTGCAGCTCCTGCTCTTTGCTTTCTCATCACTGTTATGGAGAGTGCTCTCAGATTTATCTTTGCTTTTGTTTTGGGATTTCTCTGCACTCCTGCTGCGGCTCCTACTTTTATCCTCTTTACTTGGAGTCCTGCTTTTCTCTTTTTGGCCTCTGCTATGGCTCTTGCTTCGACTACGGCTCTTGCTTCTGGAACGGGACACAGACCTGAAAGCAACAGGGAGATCCACTTTAGTGTGTCTTGGACTTGACTAGTACTTAAATAGTGGGCATAATATGGTCAGGGAAAGGAAAACAATGTTCCTACTGCAGATTTAGGATGATGCTTCTCATTTAGGTGGGCAGCCCCTATTTCTTCCAACACAAAGACATACCTGGATCTTGATCTACTCTTGGAGTGACTGCTACTGGCACTGTGGCTCCTGCTCTTATGGGAGTGCCTGCTTCGAGAGCGAGACCTGGAACAAAATCAATCAGCTCAACATTAGCACATGCCCACAGAGAGCTGGTGATCCCCTGGTCCCCTGTGGGTAAAACCCCACAGCATTAAAGCATCTTTCAAGCGGCTGTACGGCGAGAGTGCTACATAGTAAAGTTACAAACCTAGAGCATCCTCCTCCCCACTGCCACAGCTGGAAGTGAGCAGGGTTGCTCATCTGCAAGAAAACAGGCAACCTTACTTAAGATAAGGAAGCACGACTCATTTCCCAGAGTCTGAATCCAGTGAGACACTAGGACAAGGCTTTGCCTGCAGGCGCTGGTTTCCTAAGCAAGCTGTTCTGTGAACAGAAGTTTGCTCAAGTTTTCTTGCAACAAGTCCTAGCCCAGAATGGAAAGGGGGAAGTACTTGGGGCTGTGTGCTGCACCAGTTCTCTCCATCAGACAACAATCAGCTAACCTCTGAGTAACAGGGAATGGGTGAGGGGGTCTGAGCTGAGAAAGAACTGTTGGTCCTGGTGCTTACAGCAGAACACAATGTTCAGAGCCTAAGTGTTAAAAGCACCTTCTGTCTCATCCTGTATGCGCAGCTCCACCTGCCACACAGCTTGCTTCTGCCAGACAGCAAGGAGTATGGACCTGATGGAGTTGGGAAGAACAGCACCATACTACCGCCAGCAAATACATTCACCAAGGGAGACACTGCTGAGCAGAGGGCTCATGGCCATTGGCTACTTGCAGGTTACAACAGGGACCTGCTGTATATTCATGTCACTGAGAGTCAGCCTGAGCTACATTATAGACACATACCTCGAATGGCTTCGGCTCCTGGAGTAAGAGCGGCGCCGCCTCGATCCAGGTCTGTCTTCCACTAATCTAATCTTCCTGCCATTTACTTCTGTCCCGTCCAGCTTTTCAAGGGCTCTTTTCATGTCAGAATAGGATTTGAACTCAATCACACCTTCATTTTTCCTTCCTTTGTGTGCATCTGCATATGTCACTTCCCCTGCCTGACGCATATAATCCTAGAGGAAGAGGACAGAATAACCATTGCCTCAAATCCAGAGCCAGGCTTCCAGGCTGACCCTGTCCATTCCTGCAATGAGGTCCACTTGGCCTCTTCTGTTTACAGCGATGGCAGCAAAGGGTTTAACCAAAGAGCATTTGCAGTGCCAACACCAAGGATTCTGAGCAAGCCAAATAACACACTGCTGTCAGGATTAGAACCAAGGTGGTGATAATCTGGAGCCAAACCATAATTTCAGGTCTCCAATCTCAAGTCTAATGTCAAATAAACTGGACTATGATCATTTTCCAATTAAAAAGTGATTAAGGATATCAAATGCTTGCTCTCTAAATCATGTTTTCAAAGGTAGCCTGGGAGAGGTGATAAAGGTTGAATGTGAAGAGGCAAGAAGACTACAGGCAAGCGGACTTCCCTTTGTCCTGCACTTAGGTAACATCTCCTTCTACTGGAAGAACCCTCCAATAAGTAAAAGCTCAATTCATTTTCCCCACTTCATGCTTCCTGGCTTCCCTGTTTCACTCACTAAACACCTCTGCTTAGCAGGGAGAGCCATTCTGCCCTGCTTCGAGCAAGCCCTCAGCCACTGCAGACTTTGGCTGCGATGGAATGAGGGCACAGAACCCCAGCTCAATCTGTTTTCAACCCAGCTACTCCCAGCTGAAGTCCACTGAAATGAAAGCTATTCAGACCCCAAAGCAGTGCATCCAGTAGAGGATTAATCATGCCATGCTCTACTTACAAGTTTTAATACCAGAAGCAAAGACAAGCTACTGATGGTGTGAAGCATTAACAACAAAAGACATTTGAAGAATCTCAGTACATACCTGAACTAGTGTTATATATTCAATTACAGACCAGTTTCTACTACGTCAAAGTTTAGAACAAGTTTTACACATCCTTAAAAGAGCCATAAAAGAAAGCGTTCCTGTAAGATCAAGGGCTTTTAACCATTGCTGCTGTTTGATAAGGAAATAACTATGCTAAGTTTGGGATAGATAAAATACCTTTTTGCACCTACTATTGAAATCCTGCTCCCTCTATCCATGATGTAGATAAGTCAATACTTCACCTCCAGCATACTCAGAGATACCAGGCTACACAATGCTACCCAACACCGCTGCTAATCCCCTTCCACTCCTTTGGACTTCAGAAAATACTAGCTTTTGGCAGAGGCTTTGCCCCATTGCTCCTTCTGGAAGCATCCTTTCCCTGAAACTCTTTACATGGTGTGGAAATTCTTAATAGAGGCTGTGCAATAACGATGCTACAATTCCCACACAGCCCCAGCACCTTCCCCGTGAAGGAGGAAAATCCAAAGGGACAAGGGCAAACTCCTCCATCTCTACTAAATCCTACCCCTGGCATGATTAAAGTCTGTTTTGACAGGGCTTAAAGATAAAACACATCTGTACGTGATGCTGGTTTGGGGTAAGGGAAAGAGTTATTCTCCCACTGTCCAGACCTTAAGTCTGTAGGTGCAGGTCCTGATGTTGCATTAATGATTTCCCATATGCAAATACACTTCCATATCAACTGAAGGTATGTACTGCTGCTGAAAATCTACTTGTATGCCTAAGAGCACAGACTGTCAAGTTGGAGTAAAGAACATGGGTGCATACGTTTTCCTTATGGAAACAGACACTAACTGTTTTACCCCGTGTGCTCTTTACTAGCAAGAGGGTAAAGAAAGGGGCCCCATACCTTAAGGTCTTGCCAACTGCAGCGGCTTGACAAATTTTCCACAATCAATCTGTATTCTGTACGGGTGGGAGGACCGTACTTATCTCTTCCGCTTCTTCTATAACCATATCCACCTTTAGGAGGTGACAAGCAGACAGCAGTACTTCAGCTGGGGCAATGGAGCGCTTGCTCTACATCCACACAAAGACTTTTATGCCCCATATGCTTGCAAAGACATTAGAGATTACCCCCTCCATCCCCAAGTCTAAATTCCATCCCCCTTGTAGCAAACATTACATAGACCCAAAGCATTAAGAAGAGTTTACTACAAGCACACTATTAAAGCAAGGCACGTCATTAGAATTAAGCTATGAGGAACATGCAATTAAGTTTAAAGTTAATCTTTACAACAGTTGGAAAGAAGCAACCGAATTGAGCCAGTTTACTCATGTTACTTACGTTGCTTAAAGGCTTTCTGAATATCTGACATGAATAAAGCTTTTCAGGCACCTATTTCAGATTAATCTCATCTGTCTCTAACCCTTGGGATCCTCACCACCCAGGTCTAATGGGAAAAGGTTGCGGTCGTCAAAGGGCCACAAAGGTCAAAGAGCCACTCATGGAAAGGTAACCCAAGGCCAGCAAATGGAACGGGCAGTCATCTTAGCCTCAAAGGACTCTTTCAATTAAAACATTGAGGTCTTTGTTAAACTATGTTAAACATCACAGTGCAAATAAACCATTCAAAGAGTTAAAACAAAATGATAATAAAAATGGTACAAGAAACTGTTTTATTAAGTTATCCATTAAAGTCATTTAATACAACAAACAAGTTAATAAAGATTGCGATCAACAGTTACATTTACAGTTACAGAACACTAAGCACAACTTGAGAGCAGTTTCTTTTAAAATTACTTGAAAGAAATCAACAAAAAAGACAATGTTTTATTTAAAAGAAGTCATGGATACAAATGCATGGGAGTGCTTACTGCGTCCGGAACCGTAACTGCTGTCGCGCCGCGGGCCTCGGGCGTGCTCCACGATCACTCTCTCCCCACAGAGATCTTTACCATTGAGCTCATAAACAGCATCATCTGCATCCCGGAGATCATCAAACTCAACAAAGCCGTACCTAGGGGAGGAGAGGAAAAGAATCACTCCAAGAACTGACCCTGAGCTGTCTGTGTTCCAGGACATCCCATAGCAGGCTTCTGCAGAGCCCCAAGAGCATCCCTCTCTTGGTGCTGTCCTTCAGGTTGTAACCTCCTGAAGGCTCCCTTGGCATGTGATGGATGTCACAGTCTCCAAGTTCCCTGGATTAGGATTTATCCTGATTTTTTAAAACCCCTGCGTTCATTCCCGGTTCTATTGGGGAGTTACCTTAATTCCTACACTTCAAATGGAATTATTTGTTCATCAACACAAACACAAGTGGTCTGTACACCTATTTAAACCCCAGCACTGTGTAATGCCCATATCCCAATGGATCAGGGGAAGAGGATAAAAAACAGAGAGCTGTTTACTGGAGCTCAGAGCCCACCTGCAGCTGAAACCACTTCTCCTCCAGTCAGACTGGATCCCAGAGTCCCCCAAGCAGCAGCCAAGGATGCTGCAGCCCCATCACAGCCTCTTTTCAGCTGCTGTAGGCAAACACATGACCCTGAACTCAGGTCTCAGCAAGCCACAAGAAGGAACTTTGGTGAGTGCTGGTGTTTTAAACAACCCAGAACAACCCCAGCCTCCTCTCTTAGGTGCCCAACCATGGCCCTACCAACCCTGCTGTGCAATGGTACCTGTATTAACAATACCCTTCAGAATGCCTCTCAGCACCTCAAATAAATGGCTGCTTTCACATGCAAGCACCATAGCTTCATGGAAAGAAAGACTGATTGATTTATAACAACCGAAACAATCACAGTCATTATAAAACCATTCCAATTGCAACTTTCTTCCCTTCAATTCCAAAAATAGAGCAAGCGAGCGCAAAGGTTTCAATAAGATCTCATCCAAACAGGAATCACTGATGGGTGAAGTGCCTGGTACCACCAGCACTTGCAGTGCAATAAAGGCACAGATATTTGAAGCTGGAATAATGGGAGAAAATCTGCATGTGATTAGAGCACAGCATGGAACTTGGTCTTCCCAGCTGTTTGTTGGTCACCCATGTTACACACCGAAGTACAGCACCCCAGCAATGCCTCGCTGCACAGCACTAGTGGGGTGGCTCCAAATTCCAATGGGAATTTGCTCCCAAGATGGTCCTCCCTTGACAGGACTCTGTCTGGAAAAACTGTGATGGAAAGTGTTAACATTTTTCCTCTTTTCACTCATTCCAAAAGGGAATGCTTACCATTTACCTTTACAGGCCTTTTCACCTAGGGATATAGAACCACAGAACCAACCGAGTTGGAAAAGCCCTTTAAGCTCACCCAGTCCAACCGTTCCCAGCACTGCCAAGGCCACCCCTAACCCATGGCACTGAGGCCTCGTCTCCACGCTGTGTGAACACTTGCAGGGACGGTGCCTGCAGCCCTGCCCTGGGCAGCCTGTTCCAATGCCTGAGCACCCTCCGGGACAGGAATTGTTCCTCAGCTCCATCTAACCCTGCCCTGGTGCAGCTTGAGGCCGGTTCCTCTTGTCCCATCCCTTGTTCCTTGGGAGCAGAGCCCAGCCCCTCCTGGCTCCATCCTCCTGTCAGGCAGTTGCAGGGAGCCATCAGGTCCCCCCTGAGCCTTCTCTTCTCCAGACTGAACCCCCCAGGTCCCTCAGCCCTTCCCCATCACACTTGTGCTCCAGGCCCTGCACCAGCTCCAGTGCCCTTCTCTGGCCCCGCTCTAGCAATTCAGTATGTAAGATGCAAGTAGCCCTGGAATAAGCTCTTACTCTAATGGAAAAGTAAAAAGCAGGAGTTACAAGAAGAAACTTCCAACTTCTTTTTAAGACAAACAAGCTCATACAAACCTTGAGATCACTGCATTCAGATAACACTAAAAGTCATTCCCCACATCACTCATACACCAAAGCAATACTGACCCACCTGTTAAGTGTGTGTAATATTGCGCTGTATGATCTAGAAGCTGTGAATAAAAGCCTTCAGAAGCAGTTTTACACCACAGACAGCCACAACTGCTGACACAGCCTTAACTACAGCAATCTGAACCTGCTGGTATATGACAGCGGCGCAAGTAAATCTTCTATTAAATGTCTACTATTACCACTTCATATGTGGCATAAAATTACTTTCTAAAAATGCCAATGCGATTTACTCCAGGTAATGTGAAGCCCCACCATTATCTGCTCATGTCTCAGAGAAGGGAGAAGCTACAGGAGCATGCCTTCATCCCAAACAATCACAGTATTCTGAGCCTCCTAAAAGGTGGGATTTGGAGCGAAAGGAAAACACATGACTTTCTAAAACTGCTCAATACCCCAACCCAAGGGCAGACTCTCATCCTTCTCCCCCACCTGCATCACTCTTCAGTCCCACTGGATCATCCCAGCTGGCTCCGCACCAGCCCACAGCCCACCTCTACAGCCTCCCCCAGGTGCCAGCCTCTTTCCATACTGCTCATGAATGGCTGGTGCTGAGATGGAGCCCAAAAGCACCCATTCCACATGCCAAGAAGGACCTCGAAGCTGCTCTTAGCCAACACAGGCTGAAATCCATGCAGTCTCCATGGGTGGCCACCTGCCTGAGCTCAACCTACGGCTCCAGGGAGGATCAGGAGGCTCCCAATACAGAGGAATGCACTTGACTCCCACCCTGCTCTCCCTACAACAAACCAAGTTGATGGTTTGGCAGCTTTCTGAATCCTCTGGTACACAACTGCTGCCTATGGCCAGATGCTCTCCATGTGTGCTCACTGCAACCTCAATGTTCCCCCTTGTCCTGTCACTACAATCCCTGATGAAGAGCCCCTCTCTGGCATCCTTGCAGATACTTCCAGATACTGGAAGCACTGGTTTAATTCCACTGGAATTAAACCCCAATTCATTAGCAGGTCACCTGAGCATCATCTGGGTGCACTGGGTATCATTATGTTGTGAAACCAAGTTGACTTTGTTTTAATACCAACTGCTCTAATTGAAGTTAATGGCATTAATAACCCAAGAGTAGCCTGACAAAAGCACTTCAGAATATAAACCTGTAAGTGGAATTAAACCATTGAGTTAATCCTAGAAACACAGAGTGAGCTCTAACTCACAGCTGAAGCAATCTGCCACAGAAGCAGCAAAGAGCAGGTGAACAACTCGAGTACATTGAGCTTCCTTCTGTTATCTGCAGCTTTTGCACTCTGTCTCCCCCAAGTGAAGACACCAAACTGCCTCTAGATCTGGAACAGAAGTGGTATCACACACAGAACTCCTGGGTTTTAGATACAGACAAGCTGTGCCCTCCTCCCCTCTGTATCTGTTACCATTCAGACTTAAGATGCCACAAGTTTGGGCTGCTCAAGCACACCCCAAAGTCAATTCCTGCACCCACAGCACCTCCCTGCAGGTGACTTCTAAACACCAAGCTGGGACCCTCAGGCTGCTCGTAGGTATTAAAGCAAGAAAAGAAGTCCATTAGACATGTCAGTCACAACCCAGCAGTGCTGCAGCTGGTAGGAAAGGTTGGTTGGTTGGTTTGGGGTTTTTCCCTCTTAGAAGGTTACTCAGCAACAGGAAAACTGACTCCCCAAAAACCACTTTCAAGGATACACAGTGGGACTGGAAAACAATGCACTCAAGATATTCCAGTTATGGGCAATCTTCACTGCAAGTGGTTGGTTAAAACACTGACACATGCACACTCATTTGTTTTAATAATGGGTTTTATTCACCTTATAAACCTGCTGTATGTCCACCTACCAGTACAGGCAGTGGTAAAATTTAATGAGCCTGTTTTTTTATGCTCCAGGACTAACTTTTATGAGAAATTCCTCTTCTCCACTTCCAAACTGAAATCAAGACCCCTTGGCTAATGATAACAATAATAATAATAATAATCCATCTCCCACTCCTCCTTCCTAAGCAAGGCTTCAAGAAGGGTTTCTTGTCAGAAGTAAAGACTCCAGCACTCACAGGGGTTAAAGTGTTGGGGGGAAAGACTACCATAAGGAGGAATTTGATTTCTCTTGGAAAAGCCACACTTGCCTGTCCTGGGGAGCAGGATCCAGACCCTCTAGAGGCAGCCAGGGCCGAGCTGCTGGAACAGCACAGGGATGAGAACACGCAGGGATGGGGGTGGGCTGGACACCCCCACGGGATGATGCCACCACATGTGCAAAGAGGTGGGGGTCCAAGAGTGGATTCCTGCTTGTGAAGGAGGGGGCTCTGCCCACCTGGGGTGGGTGCTCACCCCGGGGTGAAGAGCAGCCTGGGGAGCACAGGGGATCCCCTCAGGAACCCCCCCTCCCCACCAAAGGGGTCAGGACATGGATAACTTCCTCCCCCAACACCTGCAGCAGGGACTCCTGCATCATGCCCTCCTCCCGTTGCCATGGGAACCCAGACATTTCCCCCCCCCCCCCCCCAAAATGGACCAAAGCATCCTGCCCTCCCTCCATCCATCCATCCATGCAGGCCCAGCCGCCTTGCCCACCCCGTCGCCATGGCAACCCAGGCGTCCTCACCCCTTCCCCATCACCACAGACATCCGGGTGTCCCACCCGACCCACAGGGAACCGGAGCGGGGGCCTTCCCTCCCCTCCCAGCCGGTACCCGGGGCCGGGCCGGGCCGCGCTCCGCCGGCAGGCGGCAGGAGGGGCCGTGCTCACCCGTTCTTGAGATCGACCTCCAGGATCTTGCCGTAGCCCTTGAAGAAGCGCTCCACGTCCCGCTCCCGCGCCTGGTAGCTGAGGCGGCCGATGTACACCCGCGGCATGGCCGGCGGGGGGCGGGGCTGCACCGGCAGCGCGCGCCGCGAGCAGGGGGCGGAGCTAGGCGGCGGCGTCACGTCATGACGCAGTGCGGGAACAGGAGGGGGGGCCTTAATAGGAATACGGAAAGGGAGGCCACGCCCCCAACCCCGCCTACCGGCTCTTAAAGGGGCCGCGTCTCTGTGTGATAGTGTGCGTGTCACTTAACCACGTATAGGGGATCGCCCTTTCCCGTATGGAGGGGGTGTATCGAGTTCCCCTTTCCCTATATGCAGGGCACTAATGAGAGACCCCCATGCATCAGGGAGCTTGTGGGGTGATAAACAGGGTGTGTGGGGTCACCCTTCTCCATGGTCTGGGAGCCTATGAACACCATTCCCCATGAACAGGGTGGTGTTGGAGCCTGCCTTCCCATGGTCAAGGGCATGTGGGGGTCTCCTCCCGCATGTACGTCCCCCATGGGGAGGGTGGAGGTTCCCCTTCTCATGGGTTGGGGGCACCCCACAAGGTCCCCCTTCCCCACATGCCAGGCATTGGTGTGGGGGGGTCCTCATATGCCAAGGTGCTTATGGGGTCCTCTATAGGGCAGGGCCTTGTGGGGCTTCCCCAGTAGAACAGATACTGTTAGGCCCCTCCATCCCCAGACACAGAGGGGTATCCCCCATCCCTGCACCCGGGATGCTCAGGATGCCCCATGGCATCCCTCCCTGCGGACACCCCGCTTTGCCGGCCATGCTCAGCCATTCCTCATTCCCATCAATGAGCTGTGACACCCCTCTTGCAGCTCCCTGAATGCCATTTGGGGGGGGGACACTTCAACTGACACATCGGGTGCCTAAATCCCACCAGCAGAGGCTCAGGTTAGCAGCTACCACCCCTATAGAACCCGCACCATCACCCCCAAAACCTCCATCCTGTGCATGTGCGATGCCAGCAGCTGGATTTCCAACTGGGATCCTGCTCATCCAACGAGTGGAGTTAAACTCCATTATCTATTCCTTCGTGCCCTGGTGTAGGAGGACAGCGCTCGGGAACATCACGTGCAAGGAGCTCTCAAACGCTTGTTAGGTTTTATTACCGAGTCAAACAAAGAAGGGGGTTAAAGCTTTGCATTAATTTGTCTGGGTTATCTCATCCTTAACAGTGCTTTGAACCATCCCAGAGCCCTCTCCATGCTTTTTCCATCCGCTTGCAGCATCAATCAGGAAAGCTCTGGGCCGCATGACACTGCTCTGCCTCCATAGAGCCCAGAGATGCTGGGTTCGATGCTCTGCATCTCTGGGGCCATTTCCCTGCTGGGATTTTAGAGCAGCCCAAATTCTCCATAGGAAAAGCCAAGAGGCCTGCGCTGGGTGCAGAGCAGCCTGGCCCATAACAGACCCCATCAGTTCAATGTAAAGGTTGGAGGCTCCCAGTTTGCAGCAGGGGAGAGCTGAGCTCCTGTGGTGCCAAAAGGGAAATGAGGGGATGGGAGCATCCTCAGTGGAGCACAGAGAACACACAGGAGCACGGGAATGATGGAAGGGTTTAGGTTGGAAGGGACCTTTAGGTTCATCCAGCTCCAACCCCCTTCCATGGGCAGGGACACCTATGAAGGAGCTCCAAGTCCTGGCCAGGCCGTCCCCAGGAGAACAGACAGAACATCCCCATGGGAATTCCTCCTGGACCAGGAGCGGGTGCACAGAGCCGGCACTCGCAGGCGGGATGCTCAGCACCCAGCTCAGGGCTGTGTCCCAGTGTGGGAGCCCAGCCCTTGCTGCCATGGTGGTGGCCGGTGTCACCCCCAGCCAGGCTGGGGCCAGGGCAGGCTGCGGAGCTCAGGGTGTCCCTGACGTTGTGGCTGGTGCAGCACCTCCTGCAGCAGTGCATGAGCTGCGGGACATGGTCCCCAGCCTGAGGGACACGAGGGAAGCTGAGAGGGAGCTAACGACCTGTTAGAGAGCAGTGTAGGGGAGAGGGACCTGGGGGTCCTGGTGGACGACAGGGTGACCATGAGCCCACACTGTGCCCTTGTGGCCAAGAAGGCCAATGGCATCCTGGGGTGTATTAGAAGGGGGGTGGTTAGTAGGTCGAGAGAGGTCCTCCTTCCCCTCTACTCGGCCCTGGTGAGACCTCATCTGGAATATTGTGTCCAGTTCTGGGCCCCTCAGTTTAAGAAGGACAGGGACCTGCTGGAGAGAGTCCACTGCAGGGCAACTGAGATGATTAAGGGAGTGGAGCATCTCCCTTATGAGGAAAGACTGAGGGAGCTGGGTCTCTATAGTTTGGAGAAGAGGAGATTGAGGGGTGACCTTATTAGTGTATATAAATATATAAAGGGGGAGTGTCCCGAGGATGGAGCCAGGCTCTTCTCAGTGGCAAACAATGATAGGACAAGGGGCAATGGGTACAAACTGGAACACAAGAGGTTCCACTTAAACTGGAGAAGAAACTTCTTCTCAGTGAGGGTGACAGAACACTGGACCAGGCTGCCCAGGGAGGTTGTGGAGTCTCCTTCTCTGGAGACATTCAAAACCCACCTGGACACGTTCCTGTGTAACCTTATCTAGGTGTTCCTGCTCCGGCAGGGGGATTGGACTAGATGAGCTTTTGAGGTCCCTTCCAATCTCTAACATACTGTGATACTGTGAATGCAGGGGTCACTTCTGGGCTCACAACAGCTCTCTCCAGGAGAAGACAATGCATCTTTCCAGCAACTTCTGCTTCCTTCTGCTTCCTGTTGCCAGGAGATGGGCACCACACATGGAACTGTCATGGAACCATCATAGAACCATCATGGACCACCGGTGTCACAGTGATGCTGGAGGATGGAGAGGCTGTCGGTGCCATGGCCCTTCAGTCTGCTGAGCAGCAGGACCCAGCCGGGCTGCTGGGGGACCACTTGCAGGAACCAAGTGGTGACAGAGATGCCTTCACCAGAGGCATCCTCAGCTGCAGCCAAGCACTGAGGAGGTGACACAGGAGCACCTTGGGGTGCTGCCACCGCACCTCCCACGAAGGAAAGCACCCATCAGGGTTTGCCTGATGCATCCCACGCCCTGACCATGCAGTTCTGTGTCTTGGAGACCTCTGCCAGACCCAGCCCGTCTGCAGCCTCCTGCTTCCCGTTTGTGCTCTGGAAGCTTGTCTGCTGCTTCCAGTTCAAGTCCATCTGCTGGGGCACCAATGGAAGCTGCATTGTGGATGGAAGAGGACGTGGTCATAGGCACCCCATCAGGGAGCTGCAGCAGGGCCTGCTCTGGGGCAGGTACGTGGGTTCCTCCACACACAAAAGAACCCCCAGGACACTCAGGAGGAGAGTTTCATGTCCAGATGAACCAAGGCTTGCCTTGGTTGCCCAAGGGATGGGAGCAAAGGGCTCCTGCTGAGCCAGTGCAGAGGAGCAGAACAGCACCCAGCACCAGCACTGCATTAGGCCAAACACAGTGAAAGGCTTTGAAATGCCTTTTGGAGGGGACTCCAGGATCTTGTCCCCCTGCCCTGTTGCTCTTAGGATGAGCCCCATCATTCCCATTGCGGGGAAACAAAGGTCTCTGCCTTAGGTGCCCAGTAGGTGCTAATGGAGGAGCCCTGTCTGCCCCAAACCTCATCCATCCCCCTGCTGCCTTTAGCAGGATGCTGCTTATCTGCAACAGCAATTGAAGCTTTATAGGATAGAAAACCCTGGCTTTTGTGTCCCTGCTTGCGGTCCCGAAGGTCCCTTCCAACCCAAACCATTCCATGCTGCAGGACGAGGAAAGGGCCAGGCAGCCGGGACCACTGGTGCCACCCTCATGGCGCACATCCCCTCATGTGAGCACAGAGCCATTTATTGCCAGCAGCTTGGAGAACCAGGCTTGTATTGGACATCGAATTCCATAAGGTTCTCCTCACAAGCAGCAGTGGAAGAGCAGCAAAACTCAAGTCAAACCCAGGCCTGGCCAAAAGCCCCCTCGCCCTGCAGACACCCAGCCATGAGCTCGATGCCACCACAAGCATCAGTGCTTCTTGCTCCCAGTGCTCCTGCCCATGGGTAACTTGAGCTTCCTCCTCCCCTGTCTTTGCTGTTTGAGGTCGGGTTTGGGATCAAGTGTTGCCAAAGGCTGGAAAACCCCCTTGTGCTCGGCCTCATCCTGCAGCACAGCATGGGGTGGGCTGGGAAAAACCATGTTAAAAGGTAGAAAGAACTGGGTTTTCCCTGTGTTTCAGTGTAGGGAATGCCCCCAAACCATGGGCTCTTGGCTGCTGCACTGGGAGGGGGCACACGGAGGTGGCTCAGGGGCTGCAGTAGCCAATGCAGCTGGGAGAAGGGCCCTGCGATACCCTGCAAAGTGACCCGAAAGCACCCAAAAATCACCTATGGGGACGTGCGAGCAGCAGAACCACACTGGCACCATTAATGCGGGCAGGAGGCAGCCCCAAAACACTCATGTGAGGGGGAGCTGCTGCTCTCCTGCCTCCCTGAGCTGAGCCAATGCAGCCCCTGCGCTCCCCGAGCATCCTCCTGCAGCCAAGCTCCCCCAGCTAAAGCGAGATGCAGCCTCCCTGCACATCACTGGTGCACGCTGCCGGCCGTGCGGAGCTGCAGAGGGCTTTAAACCTTCAAATAGACTCCTCAAAAAGGACAAAAATCAACGGCTCTGGAGGTTTCCCCCCATCTCCGAGCCCCTCCGAGGCAGCAAGGGGGAGCGTGGCCATGGGGAGCAGCACCGAGCTGCAGCTCAGAGGAGGAGGATCTGCTTTGAGGATGCGAAGGGCTTCATGGCAGCTTCCAGAGCCTCCCTGTAGTCCTGGAGCGGGACCTGGGTGCAGGCGGGTGCAGTGAGGTGGCCCTTGTGGATGAGCTGGCACAGGGCGTCCATCATGGTGGCCACGCTCTGCTGGTCTGCGAGGGAAGGAGGGAGCTCTCAGCCCTGTATCCCAGCCCAGAGCCCCGCACGAAGCCATGCAGGGTCCTGGGGTGTGATGTGCTCCCAGCTTGGGTATGTGGGATGGGGCAAGATCACCATGGTGGAACTCCAAATCCATGTCCCCAG